TACTGGCACCATTAGTATCTGACACTTCACTGGCTGCTGACGGAGCGCTTATGGGAATGCCCGAGTGCTGTGATGTCGGTTCCTGAATCAAATCAAATGTTTTCTCATTCTCATGGCATGATCAAAGAATACAGATTGTCTCCTTTTGATGACATTCAACTTACTGCCACTGAAAATAATGTGCACAATTATAAACAATAACTTCTCTTTGTTAGGTTACCCATGTCAAACTTGGACACTGACAAAAGAACACGAAAGAAAACTAACCACCTGTGAGATGAGTAGTTTGAGAATGGCTGTGAAAAAACCCAGAAGAGATCGAGTGAGAAACAACCTAATCATAAGAACTGTTGGAACAACACACATCGTCAAATTTATTGATAAACAAAGAATGAAATAGTTTGGCCATCTAATGAGAATGAAATCAAGGATGCCAGCAGCAAGAGCGTACAATCTGACAATCAAAACATCAAGAGGCAGAGGAAGACCGAGAAGATAATGGATTGAAGGAGTCACTTACACCTTGAAACTGCATAACATCAAGGCATATAAAGCGACTGAGTGCTCCTGGCTCAGCTGCCAATTGTCTGATGAACTGCGACACCTAGCGTCACAAGCAGATATTGACAGAAGAAATTCTCTTTGGTAATTTATTAACACATTGTTTTAATACTCACATTATGATAATCAATATAATTGGCAAATTGTGGGTGTGCTGTAACTTCATGTTCAACTGCGCTCCATTCAGCTATAAATGAAATCTACAAAACAGAAAATGTTCACCCTGATACTTCAACAAATGATTCAGTACACTCAGTCATATGGTCTTGGTTTTTGTATTGGTTCTGCTTTTCTTTTCGCCCTTAAAAAAGTTGGGGTTTACAGCTAGGCTGTGATATCTGTAGCCGTCATCCTAATATATAGAATAATAGCTAACTGTTCGTTGTATTTTACAGCAGGTATGTTAGTTTAACAAGACTTAAGAATAAAAAATATAACCAGTAGATCGTCATCATCATGTAGCAGGTCCTTTACAGAACGTAGCTCTCATCACAGTCTGCCTAAAGAAACTCGGTCTCTCGCCAGCTCTCCGGCCTCATACTCAAGGAGTCACTTATATCCTGTGCCCATCTCCGTGTCAGTCCATCCCTGCCCCTCCTTCCTGGTACCATGCATTCTGCTATAATTTTTTCCAATGTCGCGGCGCTTGATATGACCAAAATATTTCAGCAGAACAGGTCACATTTTAAGAAAACAAAGTAATTCAAATACAAAGGCTCTGGAGAGACTGGGTATGAAAACAGTTATTAAAAAAAAAAAGACAAGGAAAATTATTTTGACCTCATTAAAGGTCACAAACTCCTAAAAACCCTACTGCAGGGAAAAGTCAAAGGTAAGCAAGCAAGAGGTAGACAGCGATACAAGTGTAATGATAACATAAAGAGACAGACCATCGGCAGTTTAAGAGAGCCTACAGCCAAGACAACAGAGTATTGGAGATCCATTTCAGGGAACATTCACTGTGAAATCTGCCATTAAGCTTTGCAGGGAGCAGCAGTTTGCAAAAGCAAGAGGTAGACATCTATACAAGTGTGATGATGACATTAAAAGACAGACCATCAGCAGTTTAAAAGAGCGTACAGCCAAGACAACAGAGTATTGAAGATCCATTTCAGCTAACATTCACTGTGGGGACAGCCCCTGATTTTACTGAGTGAAATCTGCCATTAAGCTTTGTGGGGAGGAGCAGTTTGCAAAAGCAAGAGGTAGACATTGATACAAGTGTGATGATAACATTAAAAGACAGACCTTCAGCAGTTTAAAAGAGCATACAGCCAAGACAACAGAGTGTTGAAGATCCATTTCAGCCAACATTCACTGTGGGGACAGCCCCTGATTTTACTGAGTGAAATCTGCCATCAAGCTTTGCTGGGAGGAGCAGTTTGCAAAAGCAAGAGGTATACATCGATACAAGTGTGATGATAACATTTAAGCTTTGTGGGGAGGAACAGTTTGCAATCAATCGCTTGATGGGCAGCAATGGCTACTGTCATTCCGTGTCCAAGGAGAAGCTCCTTAATGTCATCAATCCATCTTCTCCTTGACCTCTTGCTTTCACTTTAGTTCTTTTCATAAGTAGCCCCTCTGTTGGAGTTTGTTCTGGCTGCATTCTTACCAGATGACCTTCTTCTTCTTCGCGTTCGCCAGCTGTAAACTCTGGCGGAAGGTTCTGGTTGCTCGTCCACTACTGAACTGCAGTCCTATTCCAGAACCTGAGGTTGCGTGTGCATCAGTTTTACAGATCTCATTCTCTTGAATACAGACTGTTGGTTCCTTGCCTCTCCGGCAGATGCACTCCGACTTCAAATGAAGCTCCCCAATTAGTCGACTCTTATGACATGCTTTTGGGGAGGCAGTGGGTCTATTCTTGTTTTCCCCACAATGGGGCCCCGGAACCCACACAGGGGACCAGATGACCAAACCATCTGATCTTCTGTTTCTCAATGAATGTGTTGCATGGTGTTGTTACTAAAGTATGTCTGATAACATCAATTCTAACTTTGTCTCTGATAGTGGACAGCTCTTCTCGAGTATCACTTTTCACAGGTGTTTATTTTACGAACGCTAGCCTTTGATTATGTCCAAATCTGGCACTGGTGGCACAATGTGGTATGAATATGCTGTTTTAAAATCTTTAAATAATGCGCACACAAACAATACATTGCCCAATTTATTGCCAAGCATACTTTGCTGTATCACGTCAAGTGCATTCTTCTTCTTCTTCTTCTGCCTTTCTATCCCCCAATGGAGCATAGGCCCTCAACCAACTCACGCCAAGTCATTCCATCTTTCGCCATTGCATGGAGCTCTCCCCATGTCCTCCCCATTTTTCTAACTTCATTCTCCCGCTCTCTTCTCCATAAGTTTTTGGCCTCCCTTTATTCCTATGCCCCTGTGGGTTCCAATGCAAAAGTTCCCTTTTTCACGCCTTTCGGCGCATCGGGCGGGCAGAGCGTCCCATATTTTTACAGACCATCAGCACTCTGTGGGTAATGTGGTCAGCATTACGCCGGCTGTCTTTACTTTCCCAGGACAGCCCATCCTGGTACCATATTCTAGTTATGCTGTTCTCCTGTTTTCTCAGTGTGTGTCCTATCCAACGCCAGCATCTTCTTTGCTACTTCCATTGTTCTCCCTATATCATAGAGAGTTCTAACATTCCAGGTGCCAATTCTGGAGGTTTTCCTAGCTGAGAGGGGTTACGTCGACGATCCTGACTCCTTTCAGCTTTCTCCACACCGTGTCATACTTCTTCTATTCGAAGAGCCTCCCCTCATCTTGGTTGTCTGGGTTTTACTTGCTTCTCTTTTTGACTTATCCATGGTTGGTTGGTTTTTGTGGCTATGGTTTTTACAGGATGAGGTAGCCAACCTCAAGCCCAACCCTACCCTTAGTCGCCTCTTACGACATGCCTGGTAGGGTGCAGTGTCACTATTCTTTGCTTCCCCCATGAGGGCCCCGGTGCCACACGGGCGGTCAAGTGCATTACTACAGAGTTATTTCAACATAAAATGAAGCACAAAAACTGAATAAATCCAACAGAAATGCAAACAGTTTCTTTCGACGCATCGTGGTTTGTCTAGGTGCCGAAGTTCACCGTAGTCACATTACTTACCGGGGTAACTTCAAATTTACTGTCAATTCCATCTGCTTACAAAGGAAGGGGTTCTTGATTTTAACTGTTAAAGCTTCTGCTATTCTCAGCAGTCGCTTATTTGGTAAGTGATAAACCACACGAAAAGCACTGTCTGTGTCAATTGTGTGTCCGGAATTAAGAAGATGACGTCCTATGGAAGAAGTGGGTTCTTTCCTCTTGACTGGTCTCGACACATTTGAAGAATCACTGAATTGTGTATAGAGCCATTTGGGTATGTGCTCTGCCACTCTATTTCCAAACATTCTCTAATTTCCAAGCTGTCTCTCCATTTGACAGATGTAAGTCAATTGGCAATTACATGTAAATTATTAAACACAACAGGATTTGCTGAATGGAGAAACAAGCTCTTTAACAGGTGGGGTTGAGATAGGAGTGGTCTTATACCTCACTACTAGAACAGCCGCAAAGAATGTTTGGCCAACAGCTGTTTTTAGTCGGTCTTGCAGACGCTGAATGACATCATCACCTAGATAAATCAGATGGATGAATACTTGTAGTCTGGGTAACAAGGCAGATGTGGCCAAGGCCCTTTGAGAACAAGCAACTGAATCAGTAGAGAAACAAGATTATTATGGCCTGGAGAGAATGAGGCAACTGGGTGTAACTAGAGGGTCTGGCCGGCTCACTTCACTCAGAGGAAAGGCAAGACGGACATATAACCAGATTTTGACAGGTACCATCAGTATTGGAACTCCGCGCTGGTTGCTGAAGATGAGGACGGAACATGCATGGTAATGCCCCAAGTGCTGTGATGTCAATTCTTGACTCAACTCAACTTGTAGTCTGGGTACTGTAATTTCCTTTGGGGCAGGGTTAGGTGGGGTGCAGTGATGTTTAATGAATCCTATGGGGTACCCATTCAGTTGTAATTTTGATTTGAGAGTTTCAATTTCTACTGCCAGTGTGTCTTCGGTGCAAATCTTTCTGGCCCAGTTGAACAAGATTTTAACTATGCCACGTTTATACTGAATAAGTGCAAAAGTGTAAAAGTTTAGGTACTGGCTGGTCCATGTTTTTTTTCAGTACACTGATCTTTGGATACTGCCATTTTTCTACGTGCAATAAGTACATTAAAAAACGGTAAGGTACTGTCATGTTCATGTTGTAACGATAATGCGATGTTTCCGTGTGACTGGTTCATGGTGGTATGGAATGCAGTGGCTTGCTTTTTATCAGCAGTTATTATCAGAATGTCAGCTACGTACCTAATAATGATTATAATCTGTTTCTTGGAGCTCATACTTAACAAAAACAACTACGATTAAAAATAATCACAACTTACATCCAATTCATCCAAAATTAACCATAAGACTTCTCTATTCTTTCTGTAAATTGTAGCAATATGACTTTGATAGAGCTTCATCTTTTCTACATCAGTAAGTTCCCTTCTCCATCTTGGGTTTCTGCAAAATCTAAACTTGAAAATAGCGAACCTTTCTGAAGGATTCTTTACCTGAAAATATTTATTGTACACAATTTTTAAAACCTTTATAAACAGAAAACAAGCTAAATAAATTTATCACAACCATACTTTAGTGAAGAAAACAAATTTCGAACTTTAATTCTTTGATTCCCAAGGAACGCATCATACGTTCATAGGTTCCTACTAGAAGCTCAATGGACGCATGATGTGCTGATTTTATTACTTTCTTTACTACATTCTGGGCCTGTGACGCTAAACCCCCTGGGACTCAAAGAGTTTAAGGTCAATAATGTTGTAAAAAGGAAAACTTTAATTTACCAAGACACTGTACAGCACTATCCTGTATAGTTGATTACATCCATAAATTCAAAGTCCAGGTTGGGGCTTCTAGTTCTAAACCACACTGTTGTAACGATTAACTGGCACTCAGCAGGTGACATGGTCAACATCACATTGGCCACCAGTACTTCTCAGGACACTTCCTGGTATCCATCCAAGAAAGAATATAAATCATTTTGCAAGAGAAACTTTAACACAGCATGTAAAAATAAAAACTTGAATAATGATATGGGAAGCTCTCACACAAAAACTATAGATTAACTGTCAGTGTTAATCTGGTAAGGTTCTGGAAGCTGCAAGAATAATCTCCAAAAAGAACAACTGAATTAAGAGCCTTTGCAATTTATTTACTCAGAAATCAGTATCCCTCCAACATTTGGACATGACTGTTTACAGACAATTTTGGTAAAGATGCTACAATAAAAGAAAGAGGGCGATTCTGTATTACACACACTGTAATGAGTGGGAAAGGGTTTTCCCAAGAAGAAAGGTTAAGAGGTTGGAGGCTAGCTGGGAAACAATTAACCACAAGGAGAGACTGCTTCACGAGAAAGCATGTGTGAACGTGTATTGGGAGTTTCACGAGGGAAATGAATTGTGTTTGAAAGTCCCATGGGGAAGAGGCAATTAACTGATGTGAAAAAAAGGCACAGGTATTCAGTGTAAGACCAGCATGAGGGAAAGGTCGTCTGCATAACTGAATACTTGAAGAACTGTTGTGTAAGTGAATATCTTGGCAGCGGAACTGATCAACAGTTAACATCTGCAAACAAGTCTGTGGAAGGCTGACCAAATCTAGCATTGTGTGCTCAAGGAAATTGTGAAAGTCAATTAGAATTTTAAGTAGTACAAAGGCTGTGATGGTGTCTTCTTCTTCTTCACGTTCACCAGCTGTATACTCCGGTGGAAAGTTCTGGTTGTTCGTCCAATTCTGGACTGCAGTCCTGTTCCAGAACCTGAGTGTGCATCCGTTTTACAGATCTGACTCATTTGTTTGCAGTCTGCTGGTTCCTTGCCTCTCAGGCAGATGCATTCCGACTTCGAAGGAAGCTCCCAATTAGTCGGCTCTTACGACATGCTTTTTGGGTAGGCAGTGGGTCTATTCTTGTTTTCCCAAAAACAGGGCCCTGGAACTCACACGGGGGCTGTGATGGTGTGATTGGCGAACGATTCAAGTGATCAGCTAACCTCTAGACAACGAACTGTCGACAGGGACTGTACTTATTTGAACTACTCAAAAAACAGCTACATGAACATTGTGACTTTCATATTTGTACAGCCTGTACTGGCAGTACACAGAAACTTTGCAAGTCTCTGGGAACTGCAACCAACGTGAGTAAATAAAAAACAGGAACATTCCACACAATAATCGCAACATACAGACACAATATCGGCACTGAAGCTTGCACCAACTTCAGAGCAGAGACAGCCATCCTCCTTTAAATCAAGCAGACTCCCAATACTCCAGTTCAACTAGATTTTTTTTTAAACTTTCAAATTCAGATTTGTAAAATCAGCCTTCCAAGCCATCGGATGCTCTAAACAGGAAAGCATCAACTATAAAACAATAAACAATCTGGATGCCTTTCACAAGAATAGAACTTTAGAAATGGAAAAGTAGCCCCATCTGTCTATAAGCTTTAAAATACCAAAGACATTCTTAAAACAATTTATGACCCCATCTGTCTCAGAGCTTTAAAATACCAAAGACATTCTTAAAACAATTTATGACCCCATCTGTCTCAGAGCTTTAAAATACCAAAGACATTCTTAAAACAATTTATGACCCATCTGTCTCAGAGCTTTAAAAATACCAAAGACATTCTTAAAACAATTTATGACCCCATCTGTCTCAGAGCTTTAAAATACCAAAGACATTCTTAAAACAATTTATGACCCCATCTGTCTCAGAGCTTTAAAATACCAAAGACATTCTTAAAACAATTTATGACCCCATCTGTCTCAGAGCTTTAAAATACCAAAGACATTCTTAAAACAATTTATGACCCCATCTGTCTCAGAGCTTTAAAATACCAAAGACATTCTTAAAACAATTTATGACCCCATCTGTCTCAGAGCTTTAAAATACCAAAGACATTCTTAAAAACAATTTATGACCCCATCTGTCTCAGAGCTTTAAAATACCAAAGACATTCTTAAAACAATTTATGACCCCATCTGTCTCAGAGCTTTAAAAATACCAAAGACATTCTTAAAACAATTTATGACCCCATCTGTCTCAGAGCTTTAAAATACCAAAGACATTCTTAAAACAATTTATGACCCCATCTGTCTCAGAGCTTTAAAATACCAAAGACATTCTTAAAACAATTTATGACCCCATCTGTCTCAGAGCTTTAAAATACCAAAGACATTCTTCTTAAAACAATTTATGACCCCATCTGTCTCAGAGCTTTAAAATACCAAAGACATTCTTAAAACAATTTATGACCCCATCTGTCTCAGAGCTTTAAAATACCAAAGACATTCTTAAAACAATTTATGACCCCATCTGTCTCAGAGCTTTAAAATACCAAAGACATTCTTAAAACAATTTATGACCCCATCTGTCTCAGAGCTTTTAAAATACCAAAGACATTCTTAAAACAATTTATGACCCCATCTGTCTCAGAGCTTTAAAATACCAAAGACATTCTTAAAACAATTTATGACCCCATCTGTCTCAGAGCTTTAAAATACCAAAGACATTCTTAAAACAATTTATGACCCCATCTGTCTCAGAGCTTTAAAATACCAAAGACATTCTTAAAACAATTTATGACCCCATCTGTCTCAGAGCTTTAAAATACCAAAGACATTCTTAAAACAATTTATGACCCCATCTGTCTCAGAGCTTTAAAATACCAAAGACATTCTTAAAACAATTTATGACCCCATCTGTCTCAGATCTTTAAAATACCAAAGACATTCTTAAAACAATTTTATGACCCCATCTGTCTCAGAGCTTTAAAATACCAAAGACATTCTTAAAACAATTTATGACCCCATCTGTCTCAGAGCTTTAAAATACCAAAGACATTCTTAAAACAATTTATGACCCCATCTGTCTCAGAGCTTTAAAATACCAAAGACATTCTTAAAACAATTTATGACCCCATCTGTCTCAGAGCTTTAAAATACCAAAGACATTCTTAAAACAATTTATGACCCCATCTGTCTCAGAGCTTTAAAATGCCAAAGACATTCTTAAAACAATCTATGAAGCTGAACTGGAGAGAAGACTATATAAATTACAAACCAGAGCATGTTGTCAAGCGAAGAAAGAAAGACTATTCAAAACAAATTTGACATTATATCATTCTGTTCATTCAAGTACCGAAGATATATTTCAGTACAAGGAACAGACTGGAGAACTTGGTGACAACTGGCAAGACTTATAGAGAGAGGACAGGAAAAAGCAAAGAGATAAATACCTTGATGGCTTGACAATATGCATGGGCTGGTACAAACGCACCACTTTATCCAAGATTCTGCTGACAGTATTGGATGGCAAATGGTGACTGCCTATGATTTTCAGCACAGCACATGATGATGATATTTCCAGGGAAATGGGGCGCTGGGTCATTTTTTTTCCCTTACTGTAACGGGGGCGTTGGGGAAAAATGTTTGGGAAACACTGTGCTGTGATAAATGAGAACGACAATAGTGCCATAAAAAAAAAACCACAGCTTTGATTGACTGATCAGTTGCCCCCTCCAAGCTGCTCCCTCAATGTTTATCCTACCATCCTGAGATTAACAAATCTAAATCTGGACGGCAGACCAAAATTGCAGATTCCAGAGACCCAATACAACCTCCCAAAAAAAAAGTTATAATTAATGCAACTGTAGTGACTATGCCAGCCAGCCAGCCAGCTGTAACCTGCAATCCTGTTTGGGTAAGAACAAAAAGTATAGCCAGTAATAAAGGACCGTTTTCCACGCCTTCAGGCGTATTGAGTATATAGAGCTAGACCTATATTTTATAGACAAAATGGCACTTGGTCGGTGATGTGGTCAGCATCACGCCGGCCACTTTCATTTCCCAGGACTGTACCTGGTACCTACTCAAGGCTGGGTCAACCTGGGAGCCAAGGCCATTTTTGAAAAAAGTCTAGCCCTCGTCAGGATCCGAACCAACTCTCTGATCCACATGCGAGTGTCTAGCTGCTACACCACGGCAGCTCCATAGATAATAATTCTAGCAATTAATATTCTGAATTTATGAAACTTTTCTTGGCATAAACAGCACACAAACAAGAATTCCATGCATGAATCGAGAAGATAAATAAATGAGGCATTTACTTTCTCAGCAAGAAAATTTTTGAAGTCCTTAGTGGCTGCTTTTCTGAAGCTCTTTTCTTGCCCTTTCATCTCCCCCATATCATCAGACGTAACCTTCAACAGTGATAAATATGCATACAACATACAAACAGTAACAAACTTTATGTGGATGTCTGCTTTATAAAAATCTAAAATTGATGCTAATATCTACATGTGTGTTTTCCCAAATTCAACTGTGTCCTATGCTTTCCGAGATTTGCTCCTGTTTGATTCTCACCCTTCTTCTTCTTTGTTCACCCGCTGTAAGCTCCAACAGAAGGTCCTGGTTGTTCGTCCATGTGGACTTTTGCTTTGTGCCAAGACCCCAGTTTTATGTGTACATCCGTTTTACTGGCTTATCTGTGTGCAGTTGGTTGTTCCTTGCCGCTCGACTGTGAAGGAAACATTTTCATCCTTAAAGTGTTAATCCTGTGGTCAGCAAATCTTAAAAGGGAACGATGATCAGACCAGACACCTTTCTGATTGTTCTACAATCTTAGTGGTTTCCTGGAATTATTATTTCTGCCTACTACATAAACTAACTGGAACGTACAAACCGATTCATCATCATGTAGCAGGTCCTTTTAAAATTTCACTCTCATCCTGGCCTGCCGGAAAGAAACTCGGTCTTTCGCCAGCTTTCCCGCCTCAGGTATATTCATATTCAAGAAGTCGCTTCTTCTTCTTCGTTCATCCGAAAATGTAATTGCCATGTGTCCGTTTACAGCATGGCTGCGATATTTGCACCTTTCCGTCAACACATCTGACTTCTGCGGGCATTTGTTGATCGGGTTAGCCTTCCCGGTTCAAGAAATCACTTATATCTTGTGCCTATCTTCGTGTTGGTCGGCCACTACCCCTCCTTCCTGGTACCATGCTTTCTGCTATTATTTTTTCCAATCCGTCATAGTGACCAAAACATTTCAGCTTCAAAGACAAGATGCTGTTTATTCAAACTGATTCAGTTTTCGTTATGCCTAGTGGCACATGAGGCTTCAGAGAGGACTTTCCAAACAGTTCCTATTTTTTTGGTCACAAAGTGACAAGGGTATAAATGGATCATTTTGCAGTCAATAGGGTAGACTGAGATTACAAACACAGAAAAGAACCAAGAGAGTGGATGCTGGACAGTTTGACATCGTAGCATGGAGGCTGATCTGTGTCAGAAATTTACTGAAAGTATACAAAACAGAAGTCTGTGGAGAGACAGGGCCGCCAATGTCACATAGTGTGAGTTATAAGAGGAGGAAAAGTGTTCACAATGTACTAGACTCCGCACCATGATCTAGGGCAGTGTTTCCCAAACTTTTCTTAGTCGCTTTTCAATTAAAATTTTTCCATGGCGCCCTAACCTAATAAAAGTATGAATATTTGTATGTGAGAGATTAAAAAAAAAATACAACTCGTGTATCTTCTAATATTTTGCAGCGCCTCTGTGAAGAGGTCGCAGCTCCCAGGGCGCCACGGTGCACGTTTGGGAATCACTGATCTAGTGTGTCTGTTAACATAATAAACCCATTCAGGTACCTTCTTCTTCTTCACGTTCACCTGCTGTAAACTCCAGCGGAAGGTTCTGGTAGTTCATTCACTTCTGAACTCTAGTCCTGTCCAGAAGCTGAGTGTTGCATGCACATCCATTTTACAGATCTAACTAATGTGTGTACAGACTGTTGGTTCCTTGCCTCTCAGGCAGATTCATTCCGACTTCAAAAGAAAGTTCCTAATTAGCCGACTCTTACGACATACTTTTTGGTAGGCAGTTGGTCTATTCTTGTTGTCCCCACAATGGGGCCTTGGAACCTGCACAGGAATCAGGTATCATTAACAGATAATTTGCATATATACAGATTTGCATATGTACAGATTCTGCACACTATGTTGAGACCTACTTACATGATCTACTGGAGTGTTTCATGTGGGTGCATTAATCTACTAACTGTCGCACTTGGGATTCACAACCACTGAGGGAGATTCACGATTATGTTTTGCGGACCACCTAAGTGAATGTCAAGTGTGTACTGTTGTACAAACACGTTGCTGATTCATTCTTCTTCAATGAAAACACCATTACTGGGCATGTGTACCTTGACATGTGCGTTTGTGTTTCCACAGCTTAAAGACAGGGGACAACACATGAGCAGTAGAGTTAACTTCTTGCAGGAGGACAGAGCTCCTCCTCATTTTAGTCACACTGTTTATGGTGTCTAAAATGAAAGGTTCTCAAATGTCCTGGGCACCTCAAAGACCAGACCTAACGCACTAGACCTTTTTTGTATGCAGATACATTAAAAACAGTATGTACACAGAGAAGATAAGCAGCATACAGCACTTCAAGAGAGAGTCACTGCAGCTGTAACTCTGGAAACGGTTCAGAAGACATGGCAGGATAGTAAATACTGATTAGACTTCACCATAGCTATAAAATGCATTTGAATATAAATGTTACAGACAGGTTCTAAGAATATCTTGGGTAAAGAAAAGAACAAATGCATCCATACTTCAAGAGCTGAATATTGAAGAGGGTTGGCTAGTAAAGACAATAAAACAAAGAAAATTGAAATATTTTGGTCACTTGAAACGTCATGGAAGTCTAGAGAGAACAATAATGGAGGGGTATATGCCTGGGAAGAGAGGAAGAGGAAGGCCAAGGAGAAGATGGGTGCAGGATGTGGCAGATGATCTCCTCCAGATGGGTGTATCAGACGCAGGACATCTTGCTCAGGATAGGAAGGTTTTCTGGAGGGTTGTTATGGCAGCGAGGTTCCGCGAGGGACATGCTACTGAATGAATGAATAGCTATAAAAAGCACTCATGTCGAAGAGAACTAAGGTGGTAGTCATACCTTCTGTCTCGTGTACTTTCAATCAACACTGACACAGATGATTATCCATGCCATGGTGTCAAACTGTCCAGCATCTGTTCTCTCGGTCTCCCTTTGCCTCTCCTCCCCTCCACCTTTCCTACTATTACGATGTACTCCAGTTTTCTCCTTCTCATCACATGAAGAAACAATGTAGATTGTCTCTTTCTGATGTGGACAATCAGTTCTCTTCGGAGGTCAGTTTTTTTTCAAGACATCTTCATTACTCTTTTGATCTCTCCAGGGTATTCCCATGATTTGTCTATAAAACCACATCTCCACAACTTCCAAATAAGTTTTCACTAATTTACTAACTGTCCATGATTAACTTCCGTACATCAATATAGAGTTCATATAGCTTTTAAGAATTCTCCTTCCTCATCTCAACTGACAAAGAAAGACTGCATAAAATATTCTTCATTTAGCAAAATGCTGTCTTTGCTTGAGCTATTTGACGTGAAATTTCCTGAATACATCTTTCATCTGATGTTAACAGGGTACCCAAGTATTTGAACATTTCTACTTGCTTGAGGTTTGTCCCATTTACTTTGATATTGCAAAGTAAGTCTAAAACTTAAAAACTGTCTAACCATATTAAGACACCAATAGTTTATATCCATTTTATACTTCTTTTACAAGAACAGTTTGAAAAACCAACAACATTCTCAACGATCTTGTATTATTTGAAAGAATTAGTGCCCAGACACTAAGAGCAGAATAATACCAGAAATGTACCTTTTCTGTAACTACAGTGTCCTCTTGCTTCTCCTGCCTGACAAGCTCATTGATATACTTTAGAAACAAAGATATCCTATCCTTTATCTTGTCTATCATTTTGAAGCGTTCATCCTTTGAATATTTGGCAGCAAAGTGTTCAAATGTAGACCTGATTGAAACAAAAAAAAAGGTTTTTATGTCTTAAAACAACAAATTGGGAGTCCCTGTGGCGGAGCGGCTAGATGGTCGCCGCGGATCGGAAGGTCATGGGTTCGCTCCCTGGCAGAGCCGGACTTTTAAAAAAAAAGGACCTTGGCTCCCAGGTCGACCCAGCCTTGAGTGGGTACCGGGTGCAGTCCCCAGGAGTAGAGGCGGCCGGCGTGATGCTGACCACATCCCCCATCTTGTGCCGATTGGTCTATAAAAATATAGGTCTAGCCCTATATGCCTAAAGGCATGGAAAAAGGTCCTTTACTTTTTTTTTTACTTTTAAAACAACAAATCTGAGCAAAAATACATGACTAAAAAAACAATACAGTATTTGTTTCTTTTTTAAACTTTGATTCTAAAAAATTATATATGTTTAAACCAAAATTTTAAAAAACTTGCACCAATTTTAATAGAAGCCAACTTCTGAATTCTTTAAAGTAATCCTGGGGCGGGTAAAAGCTAACAATAAAATTACAATATTAACAAACTATATCATTCAACCTGACTGACTGGACAGGCCTCAGGCATGCACCCATGAAAAGAGAGACGATCAGACAGTCTACAGAAACTGGTGACCCAACGACACGTAGTGTTATGGGATGATGATAATGATGGTGATATCGCTCAACAAGTACACCCTACTACTGAAACACTATTAGCTTAAAAATATCACCACTTGTTTCTTGGCACGTTTCCTACTTTCCAAATGATAATACTATACTGCACTATGAGGAGGCATGGGAATCACAACCCATGGCAATGGCCATTTTAACTAGCAAGACCCGCCTGCATTAGGAAAAGTCATCCACAAATAAAGCAAAGGATTTCAGGGCTGCTGTTGTAAACATTTATGTTTCTTCTCAGATGCTTAGCTCTCATCCTTTGTGCAATAATGTCTTCTGTCATTATCATTCCATTCCTGATTCGCCACTTATAAGTAACAGACCAGCAGTTTGTTCCCATGAATCCAACCGCATGCAGATATCTTTACATCTTAGCAGACATCGGCCTAGTCATTTTCCACCAATCTGTATTTCACCATAGAGGGTGTCCTTAGCGACTCAACCATCCTCCAGGTGTGACCCATCCACATGAGCCTTCCTAGACTGAGCTCTGAGAAAAATGTTGTAATAGCTGCACTTCCAATACACCAGTGTTTGTCATCTTGTCTTGCCACTTAATGACAAGTATTTTTCTTAGGCATTGCATGTAAAACCTATTCAGTTGTTTCTCCTGGTGCAAATAAGTTGACCTAGTTTCAGGGCCACAAAGAAGAGCGCTGACAACAAAAGCCTGACAGACAAGAGGTTTTGTTTTAATTGTGTGCTTTCTGTTCTCCCAAACTCTTTTTGTTAATCTGCTCATTGTTGTTGGCTTACCTATCTTGATGTTGATTTCTTGGTCCTGCGATAGTTTGTTATTCACTGTGGATTCCAGACAGGTAAAATGATCAACTGTCTCCAGCTTTTGTCTATCAATGTAGACCCAAGGTGGCATTTTACGAATTAGTTATTTAGAACACAAAAGTAAAAAGTATGTAAGAGACAAAATAAACAAATTTGCAGGACATCAGGAGCCTCTCTTGGCAGTGGTGAAATATCGCAAAATAGCTTGGTTTGGCTATGTTGTGAGACATGATTTGAATCCAAAGACAGGAAGTAGAGGGTAGTTGAATAAGAGTAGAACAAAGAAGAACCTTGAATGACAACATCAAGAAATGGACAGGTCTAAGTTATCATACACTTATTTATCAAGCAGACGACAGAGAAAGATAGCGGGTTTCATGTGCTAGTGGTTCCATCAATTCACCTCCACGACCCTAATGCATCAAGGGTAATGTATGTATGTATGTTGACTCTCAGGTGGGCCGAAAACAGGTTACCCCATTTTGGGGAGGCTCAGGTACAAAAAAGATTGGAGAACACTGGTGCAGATAGATTTTGACCAATAGGAGCTTTGATCCTGGTGCGCCTATGGTTGAACACCTCTGCATCTCACAAAACAATCATCAGTAACATATTTTGTATACAACTGGTGGCACTCCAATGGAAACCAAGCTGTATGAAACAATGGAAGACATGCATCACACCACAGACTTCATAGAGGGCTCATCTGAAAACCACTGGCAGTTAAAACGTAAAGAAGAAACACGAATAACATATTTTCAGTTAGACTGAACAAATTATACAAGGTCCGACAATTAGTTAATGAGACTGATTTGATTACAGCCAAGTCAAAATTGCTATCTATGAAGCAAAGCGTGGAATCCAAAGAGGCAACCTTCATCTATGATCTGGCAACTTTGCATCGCCGCCTGATAAACAGACGACAAACAAGCCACCATTTTATTATCCTAGTTAGATGTGCATTGATACGATATCAGCATGAAGCAAAAAGCTAAATTTAAATTTTGTTGAAAACTCAGAAAAAGTGCCATTGAGACAGTTGAATAATTGTTTTTAATAATTGGGAATAATTGTTTATTTGGTGCAGATTTTCAGGTGGTATTCACGATTCAAAAGTGGTGTAGAAATGAATACTAATGCAACTAGACCTGGATGCCCAATTTCTGTTTGTAACAATGAACTCATTGCAAAAGTCACAGAACGAATACAAGAAGCACGTTGTTTTACTGTCAGAATGATGGCAGATGAATTTGGTGTTAATAGAGAGACCCTTCGGAAAATTTTAGTGCAAGATTTTGGCAAGAAAAAGTAGCTTGCAGGTTTATACAGCATTCGTTGTCTGATGACTAAAAACATCAGCAGGTTGAGTACCCACGAGACATCATGAAAACAAGAATTTTTGGCCCTAAGACAAGTGTGTGTTTCCAACCATCCACCCTATACCCTAGATTTGTCTCCCTGTGATTAATTTTCTATTCCAAAATTAAAGTTACCATTGAAAGGACACTTCTTTGATTATATTGATGACATCAAAAGGGCCGTAACATCGACGTTAAGGGCAATAGCAACAGAAGAACTACAGAGGTCGTTCCAGTGTTTGTTAGATCGTGCTAATCACTGTATCAATGCACAAGAGGCTTACTTTGAATAAAATACAGGTTATATCTTCAACTGTTGATTATTTTAATTTTTATGAAATTAGTCTCATTACTTAATTGTCGGACCATGTATAAATATGGAATGTGCACCAACATGTACTTTACAAGAGTCAACAATAAACATATTTCTTACTTTGCATTTAAGTTACTTTCTTTGAGCAACTGTCTGTACAGATCTGTCTTCTCTTTGGTTTTCCTAATTATTTCATGGTGTTCTTCTTCAGCTTTGTCCTTCACATACTCTTCAAATGTCTGTTTGCGTTCTCGTAAACTTAGAAGCAAGTAGCGATTGTCAAATGCAATCTTGTGTAATTCCTTCTCCCATGTGGAATGTGCAGAAACCTTTGGCAAAGAAAAAAATAAAATATATTCAGTCACATAAAATAGCACAGCTCATGAACACTGAAACCTGTAACAGTGTAGACTGAAACCTGTAACAGTGTAGATTGAAACCTGTAACAGTGTACACTGAAACCTGTAACAGTGTAGATTGAAACCTGTAACAGTGTACACTGAAACCTGTAACAGTGTAGATTGAAACCTGTAACAGTGTACACTGAAACCTGTAACAGTGTAGATTGAAACCTGTAACAGTGTACACTGAAACCTGTAACAGTGTAGATTGAAACCTGTAACAGTGTAGATTGAAACCTGTAACAGTGTACACTGAAACCTGTAACAGTGTAGATTGAAACCTGTAACAGTGTAGATTGAAACCTGTAACAGTGTACACTGAAACCTGTAACAGTGTACACTGAAACCTGTAACAGTGTAGATTGAAACCTGTAACAGTGTAGATTGAAACCTGTAACAGTGTAGATTGAAACCTGTAACAGTGTAGATTGAAACCTGTAACAGTGTAGATTGAAACCTGTAACAGTGTAGATTGAAACCTGTAACAGTGTAGATTGAAACCTGTAACAGTGTACACTGAAACCTGTAACAGTGTACACTGAAACCTGTAACAGTGTAGATTGAAACCTGTAACAGTGTACACTGAAACCTGTAACAGTGTAGATTGAAACCTGTAACAGTGTAGATTGAAACCTGTAACAGTGTAGATTGAAACCTGTAACAGTGTACACTGAAACCTGTAACAGTGTAGATTGAAACCTGTAACAGTGTAGATTGAAACCTGTAACAGTGTAGATTGAAACCTGTAACAGTGTAGATTGAAACCTGTAACAGTGTACACTGAAACCTGTAACAGTGTAGATTGAAACCTGTAACAGTGTAGATTGAAACCTGTAACAGTGTACACTGAAACCTGTAACAGTGTAGATTGAAACCTGTAACAGTGTAGATTGAAACCTGTAACAGTGTACACTGAAACCTGTAACAGTGTAGATTGAAACCTGTAACAGTGTAGACTGAAACCTGTAACAGTGTACACTGAAACCTGTAACAGTGTACACTGAAACCTGTAACAGTGTAGATTGAAACCTGTAACAGTGTACACTGAAACCTGTAACAGTGTACACTGAAACCTGTAACAGTGTAGATTGAAACCTGTAACAGTGTAGATTGAAACCTGTAACAGTGTAGATTGAAACCTGTAACAGTGTAGATTGAAACCTGTAACAGTGTAGATTGAAACCTGTAACAGTGTAGATTGAAACCTGTAACAGTGTAGATTGAAACCTGTAACAGTGTACACTGAAACCTGTAACAGTGTAGACTGAAACCTGTAACAGTGTAGATTGAAACCTGTAACAGTGTAGATTGAAACCTGTAACAGTGTAGATTGAAACCTGTAACAGTGTACACCGAAACCTGCAACAGTGTAGATTGAAACCTGTAACAGTGTAGATTGAAACCTGTAACAGTGTAGATTGAAACCTGCAACAGTGTAGATTGAAACCTGTAACAGTGTAGATTGAAACCTGTAACAGTGTAGATTGAAACCTGTAACAGTGTACACTGAAACCTGTAACAGTGTAGATTGAAACCTGTAACAGTGTAGATTGAAACCTGTAACAGTGTACACTGAAACCTGTAACAGTGTAGATTGAAACCTGTAACAGTGTAGATTGAAACCTGTAACAGTGTACACTGAAACCTGTAACAGTGTAGATTGAAACCTGTAACAGTGTAGACTGAAACCTGTAACAGTGTACACTGAAACCTGTAACAGTGTACACTGAAACCTGTAACAGTGTAGATTGAAACCTGTAACAGTGTACACTGAAACCTGTAACAGTGTAGATTGAAACCTGTAACAGTGTAGACTGAAACCTGTAACAGTGTACACTGAAACCTGTAACAGTGTACACTGAAACCTGTAACAGTGTAGATTGAAACCTGTAACAGTGTACACTGAAACCTGTAACAGTGTACACTGAAACCTGTAACAGTGTAGATTGAAACCTGTAACAGTGTAGATTGAAACCTGTAACAGTGTAGATTGAAACCTGTAACAGTGTAGACTGAAACCTGTAACAGTGTAGATTGAAACCTGTAACAGTGTAGATTGAAACCTGTAACAGTGTAGATTGAAACCTGTAACAGTGTAGATTGAAACCTGTAACAGTGTACACTGAAACCTGTAACAGTGTAGACTGAAACCTGTAACAGTGTAGATTGAAACCTGTAACAGTGTAGATTGAAACCTGTAACAGTGTAGATTGAAACCTGTAACAGTGTACACCGAAACCTGCAACAGTGTAGATTGAAACCTGTAACAGTGTAGATTGAAACCTGTAACAGTGTAGATTGAAACCTGCAACAGTGTAGATTGAAACCTGTAACAGTGTAGATTGAAACCTGTAACAGTGTAGATTGAAACCTGTAACAGTGTACACTGAAACCTGTAACAGTGTAGATTGAAACCTGTAACAGTGTAGATTGAAACCTGTAACAGTGTACACTGAAACCTGTAACAGTGTAGATTGAAACCTGTAACAGTGTAGATTGAAACCTGTAACAGTGTACACTGAAACCTGTAACAGTGTAGATTGAAACCTGTAACAGTGTAGACTGAAACCTGTAACAGTGTACACTGAAACCTGTAACAGTGTACACTGAAACCTGTAACAGTGTAGATTGAAACCTGTAACAGTGTACACTGAAACCTGTAACAGTGTACACTGAAACCTGTAACAGTGTAGATTGAAACCTGTAACAGTGTAGATTGAAACCTGTAACAGTGTAGATTGAAACCTGTAACAGTGTAGATTGAAACCTGTAACAGTGTAGATTGAAACCTGTAACAGTGTAGATTGAAACCTGTAACAGTGTAGATTGAAACCTGTAACAGTGTAGATTGAAACCTGTAACAGTGTACACTGAAACCTGTAACAGTGTAGACTGAAACCTGTAACAGTGTAGATTGAAACCTGTAACAGTGTAGATTGAAACCTGCAACAGTGTAGATTGAAACCTGTAACAGTGTACACCGAAACCTGCAACAGTGTAGATTGAAACCTGTACACTTAAACCTGCAACAGTGTACACTGAAACCTGCAACAGTATGTTTACTGAGATAAATAAGTTACCAGTCCTCTTTACAAAGTAGTGCATCTGTCACATATTTAACCTACTTTATTTTTCTATACAATGATACTGAAAATAGTATTTTTTTTTAAATGTAAACACTTTCTTCTACACCAGACAATTTTTTTAAACTTAGAGCGTACTATGAAAGCTAACAGATCATCATTTTGTTCTTAATTCTACTCGACTCGACCTTTAACTGTATTTTCACATATGTAGCAACCAGCAAAATGTAGGCATGTCTAACTTAAACAAATCTGATCACTAACTTGCATGTCCCATATTACTGAAAATTAGTTATCTACTGGACACGTCTCTATAAGTCCAGGAATTAAAATATCAGTAATAATGAAACATTTCAATTTACACTCAATTTCCTTTTTCTTTTTTTCTTTTTCTTTTCAAATTCACAGGTGAAAATTTAAGGGTTTCAAGAGTTTAAAAAATGTCTAATATACAGGATCCAAACATAACTACGAAAAAGATTTTCTGAAACACTTGAACAGAACAGACCAAGTCACAGTTTTTCGCTTACGTACTGGACACTGCAGACTCAATAAACACTCACATAAATTAGGTATTAGCCAAACAGCTCTCTGCCAGTGCCTTCGTGCTGAACAGACTCCAGAACATGTCCTGCAAGACTGTCCTCTCCTGGCGGAGCTGCGGAGCAACATATGGCAACACCCAGTAGAACTGACAACTAAGCTTTGGGGAAACCTAAGAGACCTTGAAAAGACATCCCAGTTTATGACCCACAGTGGATTATGCGCATGACCAGAGATCGCTGAAGAAGAAGTATCCAAACACTTTTAAATAATTATTACCCTCAACTCTCCATGTGGGTTCTGGGGTCAAGTTGTGGGAAAAGCCATAAGAGACCCACTGCCTCCCCAACAAACATGTCATTACAGTCGACTAATTGGCGGCTACCTTCAAAGTCGGAGTGCATCTGCCTGAGAGGCAAGGATCCAACCATCTGCATACAAAAAAGCAAGATCTGTAAAACGGATGCACACGCACAACTCAGCTTCTGGAACAAAGCCAAAGAACAGAACTGGATGAACAACCAGGTATTTTTGCAGAGGTTTACAACCGGTGTCTGCAAACAACAATGATTACCCTCAACCAACTTAAATACACTCATCAGACAAAATAAACCCATTATATATGATTACCTTTTTTTCAGTTAGCAATTCCTTGAACTGTTGAATTCTGGCATCCACTAGAACAACAGACCTTTGCTGAGCTACTTGAATTTCTGATGCAACAGCAGTCTGATTTTCAAGAACAATTGTTTGAGCATCTTCAATAGTGCTTTTTTCTTTAACCTCAATCTCTGACCTAAGAGACAAGAAAAACATAAACAGTTGTTAGAAAGATGTTATATAGCCAGGCATATTTCACTGTACCTACTACAGAGTTACATCAACATAAAATGAAGCACACAAAAACTGATCAAATCCATCTGAAATGCGAATTACCGGAAGTTCAGTGTATCATGTGACTTACCATGGTAACTTAAAATTTACTATAAATTCCATCTGCTTACAAAGGAAGGGGTTGTTGATTTTAACAATTTTATGTTGATGTAACTCTGTAGTAACTAACACACCTGATGAGATACAGCGAAATAGGCCTGGCAATCAATTGTGCAATATATTGTTTGTGTTCGTATTATCATTACATGAAAACAATCTTTTAGATATTACATAATTATAAAGCAACAGAGCCTAAACAAAAGCAATGACAGAATTAGTACAAAAATATCCCTTTCGTGTATCTTCCATCTTACAGTGGTAGTCAGACTTGCATGTCCCAACAAATTCTACAGATATGCTAACTTTAGAGCCATGCTAGACTGGCTGTTCAGTGTTTGCCTACCGAACTGAAGGTCTGAACTTTTTAACTGGCACCAGGTGGGTTTGAAAGACACAAAAATTGACCCAGCCTACCAGGAAATATCAAAGGAAGTAAAGGTGACTAGCCTAATGTTGACCACATCACCCATATAGTGCCAGTGTCGTGAAATGATAGCCATTACGCATCGGTCTGTAAGGCTGATAACCTGTCTTACCTGTGATCTGCACAAAATTCAAACTTGGACTCGCCCAGAAATATATAGTCCCTTATATCTATATATATAGGCCTGTATTGGACAACATTATTATGTCTGCCTTTTCTGGTTACTTTAACTAAACTCCACTTTTAAATGTATATCTCTTGGAGATATATTAAGGGGATTATTTGAGGTTTCTTGGAAACCGATTTACTCCTTGCCCAAGTATACATGGGACTCCTTTTGTACCAACGCCTGAGGTGTCTAAGTGACGCTATTCTCCTTGCCAGCTTCTCAAGCGTCCAGATGTGTTAATCTGTGCCTGTATAAATTTCACTTTCCAAGGCAATCTGGAATGTCTCAGTTTTTACATATGCTTGGGTAAGTTAATTATAGTTTACGAGTACCTAGAATGATGTCTGTAAAGTAGTCACTGCTGTAGAGAAATCAGTATCGGCTGTGTGATCCCACTTAGTTCGACCGTTCTTGATCGCTAGAGAAGCGGATTCCAACGTAGATCTTCCACTGTACAGACTAAATAGCTTATGCCCTCAATAAACCACCCATACTGATAAAACTTAATACCCTTACAATTGTGTACGTTTGAAACTAACTAGAGAATCTGTACATATGAAATGGGGACAGAATTGGGTCAGGGCTTTGTTAATCAAAGTAGGTGTGTGCTTGACCCAGATCAATGAGTGCTGGGGCGGTTGGGAAAGCTAGTGAATGCAGGTACTGACAGTAAATATTGGTGTCTGTGTGCAGAGTGAGGGGGAGAGGGAGAGTGATATATGTGTTAGACCACTTTATCTATCTCCACTGTATATCTGACTTGCCTTCTCTTGCACTAAACAGACAGATAAATATAGGAGACTTATGTCTTTTTGGTCTGGAGAGGCAATCTGAGGAATGAAACAGGAGAGCAGGGAGGAGTTAGCAGATGGGGGTTGATGACTGATGCTTGCTCTGTCTTTCCTGTCAAGATGTTACCCTCTTGGTGATGACTAATGTTGAGTTATTTTCTTGACAGGATGTATCTTTTCTGAAGAGCTGGCAGAAGATTCACAGTCAAACCAACATCCACCAACCATCCAACCACCAGCTAACACCTGTGAAGGTTCCTGACATCTCTAACATGTGGGAGATGGTACCTCAAACAGCTACCAGTGCTAGAGCTTAGTGTGGCTCAAAGACATTGTGTGTCCTTACTGGTGATAGAGACTTGCTAAATACCGGTACAGTTGCTGTGTCTTCTATGGTGAAGTACTCTTTCACTACCTGATCCAGTTGAGCAGAATTACCAGAGTCAAAGACAGTCGAATCATCAGGAGCTGAGGGAAGCATCATAGACAGAAAGAGGCTAAGTGCAGTTTGACGCCTTATATGCTTTATTCCTCACAGCTCTTAGATTGTCCAGTGATGACAAGATGTCATCTCCAAGACCTTCTGTCTGTGTAGTATCTTTGTGATTTGGACAGGATATCCTGAGATCTAGCCTAGGAGATCTGGCAATTGTCTCACTTTTATGTATCTATTTTATATTGATTACATGCATTCATTTTCATGGCTGACTTAGGTGTTCCTATTTCACCTTTTTAAGTGTTTAGCAGTTGTGTATGTATGTATCTTCATCATATGTGTTAACATGGTTATGATAATGAACTATCATAACCTGGGGGCTTTCTTTAGTAAGTAGTGGGGGTGTCCAGCCAAGTGTGCCTAGAAATATGGTATATATATACTGATATATTTTGTAGTGCCAATACTTGAGTTGCCCTACTCCAGAGATAAGTTGAGCGTATATTGGCCACGGGGAATCCCTTAGACCAATACGAGCCAAACGACTCAACATAATTATCTCTGAGTGCTGTTGGTTCTGAAGGAGAAATCCTTACATTAGGCACGCGACAGGAGTGATATGTGACAGCCAGTTTTTCTATAAAAATAGCATAAATGCCAGATGTGTTCTTCTTCTTATTTCTATTTAGACAATGTAGATACAGACTGGGAAACTTTTAGAGACACAAAACTACCTTGGTTCTAAGGCTCACTCAGCCTACAATGGGTATCACAAAGTTTCATCAGAAGTAATGGTGGCCTATATAATGTTGACAATGTCACTCAACGAGCGCCAATGACGTAAACAAATATAGATCTAGTACTTAGCTTTACATAACATATTCACAGCTGACTGCGCCTCCCTGTGTTAGTCCCATTGTGGAGAAAACAAAAACAGACCCACTGCCTCCCCAACAAGCATGTCGTAGGAGTCGACTAATTGGGGGATTCCTTCGAAGTTGGAGTGCATCTGCATGAGCGTCAAGGAACAACTAACTACACACAAAACTCAGGCCCTCGCACAAAGTCAAAGTCCAAATGGAAAAACAACCAGGGCTTTCTGCTGGAGCTTACAGCTGGTGAACAAAGAAGAAGTCTGCTTGCGCCAACAGTGAGCTGCAATTCTGATGTGGGATCGCTAGTATTGGCACATCTGGCAGTCTTATGCATTTTTAATTTGTGTGTGCTTGCATGGACTGCTCCATACACCAGTTCCCCATTTGTGAACTATGGACTGCTTCATACACCAGTTCCCCAGTTGTGAACTATGGACTGCTTCATACACCAGTTCCCCAGTTGTGAACTATAGCTGTAATTTTTGGTTTTTTATTTACTTCTGGACTTGGTATATTCCAGAACTTGAGTTTTGCATGCACATTCATTTGTTTGACAGATCTGGCTTAACTGTATGCAGACTGTTGGTTCCTTGCCTCTCAGGCAGATGTATTCCGACTTCAAAGGAAGCGACCCTCATCAGTCCCCCTCTAAGACATGCCTGTTAGGGGTCAGTGGACGCCCAGAACCCACATGGGGAAAACCTAAATAACTTCTTCTTCTTGCCCCTCCAGCAGATGCACTCTGTCTTCAAAGGAAGCTCCCCAATTAGTCGACTCTTACGACATGCTTTTGGGGAGGCAGTGGGTCTATTCTTGTTTTCCCCACAATGGGGCCCCGGAACCCACACGAGGGAACATAAATATAATTACTTGATCTTCTTTATTGGTGGCCCTTCCTGAACATTCTGTTCCTCCAATTTTTCTGAAACAACAGAATTTACAAGAATAATGCAGACAAGTATTCAAAATATATTATGCACAGATAAAACAATACAAATAAACATATTATGGTATTCTAGTAAAAATTGTATTTAAATCCTGTCTGTCATGAGATACAGCGAAGATCAAAATCTGTTTTTGTGATTAAAATTTAAAAAAAATGTCTACAAGTACAAAAATTACAATAAATGATAATGAAACTGAAACCGTCACCAAACCTGAATACCCTGGCCAAATAACTGACAAGTATGAAGATTTTAAGAAAAGTGAGAAGGGGGCTGGACATATAAATGCAGTGGTTAAACAGCATTAAATGTCTATGACACAACACAAGCTAAAAAGTAAATATTTTGAGAGCACATCTTCACAACATAAGCAACAAAAGAATGTTTGTCGCATACCATTTCTCATCACAAAGAAAGAAAATCAGGACTTTACAATTTAAATATATCCCCAAAAAATATTCTGAATACCACGCACATAAAAGAATAAAAATAATAACATTACACAATATCAGAACATTAAAGAAAACCCCATTTCCCCATTTGAAGGCCACAGCACACTGTGATGTGGTTTACAGCTTGGTTGAAATATCTGAATGCATCTAATTTCAGTTAGAAATTAGTCGTCTTTTATAACATGCAACAAAACACATTATAGTTATTAACACAATTGCTGAACTGTACTAACTTATAACCTAACAAAGATATACAACAATTGTGGAAAAGATATATGCACAAATCACATACTGACCAACCGAGTAGGTACTGGGGCCCCAATGTGAAAAAAAACAAGAACAGACTCACTGCCTGCCCAAAAAACATGTTACATGAGTGTACTAACTGGCCGCTTCCTTTGGAGTTGGAGTGCATCTGCCCGAGAGCCAAGTAACCTACAGTCTACATACAATTAGGGCAAATCTGTCAAACGGATTTGCATGCAGCACTCAGGTTCTAGAACAAAACTGAAGTCTAGAGGTGGACAAAGAAAAATAACTTGCCGCCAGAGTTTACAGCTAGTGACCGTGAAAAAGAAGAATATACTGACCAGTCTTGACTTCTGGTTTAGGTGACAACAGCTTCTCAACATATGTGTGGTTTTTAAGCTCTTCGGGCATTTTCCAAACTGAACGACGTTTACTCGAATTATAAAAGAAGTGCTTCCCATCATTAGTCTGAACCAGACACCTGTGAGAATCAGAAGCATCAATCATGTCAGTCCTACACATCTCTCATCAATTTGATTAAAAACCCACAAATTATATTTTGTATACACAAGGTAGGCATTAAGACCCTGTAGATAATTATATTGCATCTGTGAATAGTGAACCTACATCTGTTCTTCCCATCGTTCCCCGGCTGTAAACTCCAGTAGAAATTTTTCATTCTTCATCCACTTCTTGACTTTGATCTTGTTCCAGAACTTGCGTTATGCTTGCACATCCGTGTTTACAGTTTATCTGAATACAGACTGTTGGTTCCTTGCCCTAATTAGTCACCTTTTATGCCATGCGTGTTGGGAATCAGTGGATCTATCACCTCCTTACCCCCCCCCCCCCCTCCCTCCCCCCCCATCCCCCCAAATCAAATGGGGTTCCAGAATCCACAAGGGGATGTGAAACGTTTACAGATATCATCACAATGGTATGCACAGAAGAAAAGCAGCTTTAGAGGGCATATAATTTATTACAGGCTTAATCTGAGAGGGCTTAGACACAAAGTGTCAGTCTATAACTTGAGAAGATGAGGCATTAGTCATGGAGGTTCACACAATAAGAAACAAATGGGTGTTAACTTTTCTATTGAATCTCTGGGCAGTGGGCAGAATGTCTAGCCTTCTCAGATAAGAAAACAGAAGACTTGAATTCACAGAGAAATCCAAACAGCACACTGACCAGGCTCAATTTCAACATTTGAAAACCTGTTCTGAGTGAATAAATGTATGATGAATGAATCAAGAATTGACATCACTGCACTTAGGACATTGCCACATGTGCTCCATCTCCTTCCTGGAGTCTCCTAAAAATGTTTGAGGGCCCCTTCCTCCATGTTTTCTTTTGTTTCGATGCTCCCGTGAGCAAAGTCAGCTATACTGAACTATCAGAAGACAGTATATTAAAACTAACAGATGACTGGGAGGTGGGGATGGGTCATAATGATGAATGCCAGCTTCAGATAAGGCACCCTTTCTCCTAAACAAAAATCAGGCGCCATGCACATAAATGGAGTACCCCTGAGAGAGGATAAGGAGCCCACATACCTCGGCATAACGTTTGATAAAAGATTAACATGGAGAAAACACATCAACAAGGCAGCAACCAAAGCCAGAAGGAGGGTAGCCATTCTGAGAAAACTAAGTGGAACCACATGGGGTGCTAGCGGGAAAATACTTAGAAAAGTTTACCAACAAAGTGTTCGACCACATTTTGAATACGGATCAACAGCATGGAGTTCGGCATCAAAAACCACATTGCAAGAATTAGACAAAGTGCAAAATCAAGCACTCAGAGTTACCACAGGCAGTATGAAATCAACACCTATAGCTGTGATGGAGAAAATGGGGATGACCCAAGCACTAAGTGAACGCAGAGACACCAAGATGCTTTTACAAGCAGAAAAGTTTCTTAGTATGCCCAGTCACCCTATGAATGTAAGATTCAAAAATTTAGCTTTGGGACGACTAAAGAGAAGTAGTTTTATCCACCAGGCCAAACGGCTCGGCAGACAAACCACTGATTTACCTGCAACTGATAGATCCTTAAATGCTGTCCCAGAACGGACCCCCTGGAGAGAGGAGTATAAGTTTCCAATACACATCAAGACTGAAGTGAAAGGGGTATTTGACAAGGAAGAACAAAACAGTGTGCAGCGCAAAACAGCCACCCTCAGTTTACTTGATGATGAATACCCGCAGAACCTTTGGGTCCGTGTTTACACAGATGGGTCAGCAGAAAGCGCAGTCAGAAACGTAGGTGCGGGAGTGTACATTGAGTATCCTAATAATACCAGGGATACAGCCAAATTACCAACGGGAAAGCACTGTCACAACTATGATGCAGAAGTTCAAGCCATCAAGATAGCGGTAGAGAAACTACTAAATACAGGGTATTTTTCACAACCAGTGGTATTCCTGACAGATGCAAAAGCAGTACTTCAGTCACTCCAGTCTGGAAAATTACCAAGCATACGGACACTATTATCCGAACTAGGCAACCGCTGTAAATTAGTAATGCAGTGGATACCTTCCCACTGTGGAGTTCCCGGAAACGAAAAAGCTGATAAACTAGCTAAGGAAGGTGCAACTGAAGAACAACCTGACATACCTCTTATCAACAGAAGAAGAGAATGATCAAATCAATCAGAATGCCACCGAAACTGGCACAAGATGATTACCATATTATGGACAGACCAGAGCAAGTTATTATCCTTCGCCTTAGAACAGGGCACAATAGACTTCGCTCCCACATGTACAACAAATTTAAGATTGGCCAATCGGCCATGTGTACTTGTGGACTGGCACCTGAAACAACAGATCTTTTCCTTCAAGACTGTCCCATATTCAACGCTTTCAGGCAAAACATTTGGCCAAAAGAGACACTTGTGGAAGTCAAACTTTACGGGCCGCTTAGTGAATTACAAAAGACAGTGAAATTCATACAAGAGACGGCTTTGCAGATATAGACAATTTATTTCATGCGAACGAAAGAAGAAGAAGAAGAAGATTAGGCACCTGAAACCAAATTTTCAGTTAAAATTCTACTCAAAGTATTTCAGAATCCTCGCCGGTGCTACAGACCCTGTGCACTATGCTGAGATTCTTTGGACTCAGACTTGAGTTAGAAGAAGAACGGAGCACTTATGGGTTACTACCCGTGTGCCATGATGTTGATCCATTGTTCAAAACCCCCCTGAAACTTCAAACCTGAAGCAAACATATAATGTCATCATTATCATAAATCAGAAGGTCATTTACAGAATGTGGCTCTCCTGGCGACACACCCGAAAGTCTCGCTTTCTCTAACCAATTCTCCAGCCCTGTGTGCTTTCACAGCCAATGCACCTTAAAAGTCTTGAATATGTGGAGATCAGCATCAATATGAGGAACTGTTCCCTACATTACCATTTGTTTCCAGGCCACCATGACCATATTAGATATACAAAAATATATTCAATGAGAAGCATGCAGAAACCAGCTATCGAGCAAACAGAGAAGAAATGCCAATCAACTCCTACTGAATGCAATAAGCATGGAGATGTTGAGATGGCTGCTGCATTAGGGGGTGGAGCACAAACAGATTGGTGTGATGTGCTTGTATATCGATAAGTACAACAAGTATCAAGATTATCATTGTAATGTGGGTGTGAATGTGTTAGCTTTCTAAGACTGTCATTTTGTATGAGGTATTAATTTTATATGTAAGGTCTGTGGTGTCACAAGGCAGATCAAGAAGACAATGGTGACATAATATCTGGACAGATCTAAAACACTTGGTGTCTCCAACTGGAAAGAGAAGGCCAACCAGAAAGATGAATGGTGGCAGGTGATATCTGCAGCTATGAACCTCAAGGGCTCAGAATTCTGAAAAAGAAGAAGAAGAAGATCTGTGGTGCATTCTACCCACCAAACTGTGCCAGGTATCGAGGTACTGGCAACTGGCCCTGACTTGACCGGTTTCTGTTC